CAATCCCTTGCTCTCTCTCTTCTCCTTCTGGTATCCCTATAATGCGAATTTTGTTAGACTTGATGTTATCTCAGAGGTCCCTTAAACTATCCTTATTTTTTATGATTCTTTTTGCTGTTTTGATTGGGTGTTTTCTCCTACTTTGCCTTCCAAATCACTGATTCAGTCGTCTGTTTCACCTAATCTACTATTGATTTAATCAAATGTATTCCTCATTTGTGTTATCGTGTTCTTTATTTCTAACTAGTTCTTTTTTTTATGTTTCCTCTTTCTTTGTTGAAGTTCTTACTGAGACCGTCTATATTTCTTCTAAGTTCATTGAGCATCTTTATAACCATAATCAGTGTTTTGAACTTTGTGTCTGGTAGATTGCTTGCATCCATTTTGTTTAGTTCTTTTTCTGGAGTTTTGTCCTATTCTTTCATTTGAGACACATTTCTTTATCTCCTCATTTTGGCAGCCTCCCTGTGTTTGTTTCTATGTATTAGGTAGATCTGCTAAATCTCCCAGTCTTGGTAGAGTGACCTTATGTAGTAGGTATGCTGTGGGGCCCAGTGGCACAGTCTTCCTGATAACCTGAGCCGGGTGTTCCAGGGGTGTTCCTTGTGTGGGTTGTGTGTGCTCTCCTGCTGTAGTTGAGCCTTGCTTTCTGTTGCCACATCAGTGAGTGGGATTGACCCTCAGGCTAACTGTCTGTGAGGACTGCCCGTGACTATAGTGGACAAACTGTTGTGTGTGGGCTGACCTCCACAGAGCAGGGCTCTGGTGCCTTCTGAATCACCCTTTGGATGTGTCATTTGTGACACTAGTTGGGTGGTGCTTGGGTGTGGTCTGAAGCTGGCGACCAGGTATTTTGGTTCTGGGGCCTCTTGGGAGTGGCTGTGGTACAGGCCAAAATCAGCTGCTGCCTATGTCCGGTCCAGGGCCACCTGGTAGGAACTACAAAGTGATCTCTGGTTGGTAGCTGCCTGTGCTGGGCTTGGAGGCACCTGGGAGTGCCTGTGAACCGAGGCTGGCTGCCACTAGTGCCAGGCTTGGGGCTGCCTAGTAAGAGGTACAAGAGATGCTGAAGCCAGCCGCTGCTTGTTTGGGGTTTGTAGACCTTTGAGAGATGTTAGGAAAGTCTGCAGTGTGGGCCTAAGCCAGCTACTTGTGTGGATTAGCCTCTGAAAGAGGTTTGGGCTGGGTGTGTGAATTGGGTGGGGCAGGTTTTACGGAATCACAGTGAGGAGAAAGCTGTGTTAGCCAGATTGGAGACTCAGTTTGGTGACCACTTGCACCTATAGGCTGTCGGATGGGAGAACTCAACAAAGGAACAATGGTGCCTGCCAGCACTTCTGCCTCCGCCTGCTTAGGGCAAGTGTGAGAGAGTGAGTCTGTGCTCAGGCCATTTAAGAAGATGCCTTGTTCTTTGGCAGCCCTCACTTGGACTGAGTCCTTGCTGACTTTCACAGCCAGCTGTTGTGGGGACTCCTTTTCCTGGAATTGGTGCTCTGGGCTGGGGAGGCCAGTGTGTGGCTGAGACCCCTTGCTCCTCGGGGAGGGGGGGTCCTCCACAGCTGAGATATCCCTCCTGATTCTTAACCGCCACACATGGGTGTGGGACCTGCCTGTTCCATGTCCCTGCTCCTCCTGCCATTCTCGTCATGGCTTGTTCTTTATGTCCTTTGAGATAAGAATTCTGTTCAGCCTGGTTTGTTTCATGCAGGTATTTTGCTTTTTATTTTCCTCTACTTTGCTGTCACCTTTTGGTACTGCCTATTTTTTGATCTGCTTTCTACCGTCTTTTTCTTTTTCTTTTTGCTACAGGTTCTTCATCATTCACAGGAATGGGTTTAGCTTCTATCTTCCTGTAGCTTGTCCTGTTTTTTACAGGATTTTTCTGAATAATTGCCTGTATGCACATCCATCTCTTTAGTCTTTGTTGTTGATTTGTGAGTTCTGGGAGACACTTGGATCATTGAGGCATTACTCACTCAGGCTTTTTCTCTTTTGAAACGTTATCTTTTTTTCTCCACTTTTACAGACTATTATTGATTTTTTTATATTGATATTGTATCTAGCAACCTTGGTGTGCTCTCTTACTAATTCTAATTGTTTGCGATTCTCGTGGNGCATTAGGAAGGTTGAGAACCGCTGCTCTAGGTGGATGTACCATTTGACTCAAGCTCATCTTTCTGACATACTGCTTTCTCAACGTCTCTAACTGTAATGTGCAACAAGCATTTTAAAATCAACATATCTAAAACTGAGCTCCTGATGTCCTCCGCCTGGTCAAACCTGCTCTCTTCCAGTAGTCTTTTCCTCCCAGCAAACTCCAAAGCCTTGGTGTCCTCCATGCTCCTCTTTCTCTCAATACCCCTTACCAAATCATCTGTCAGCAAATCCCGCTGCCTTACCTTTGGTCAGTTCCCTTCCCCCACTCCTCAGCGTCAATCTTCATCACCTCCACCTGACCTAAGTTTATTCATTTTGGGCTGATCTCAAGTGTCACTTCTCACTCATCTTGGTATCCTCTGCACCACCCAGCCCACTTCTTAAGCATGGATACTCAACGTACTTTTTTGTATATTTGTTTTTCAAGTGAATTAAATGCACAGGAAAGTGATCTGAAGGACAGATGCTAAATAAAAAATTTGGAGTCTCTTTTAATAACCACCTCCTTTTTGGGTGTGGCAATGTGGGCATCTCCTAGGTTCCCTAATTTTGGTTGTCAGAATCACCTGGGCAAACTACAGAGAGGCTCAGGTCCTACCCTCCTTCAAGGAGCCTGGGCCTCTGGTCTTCATTAGCTTTCAGGTGATTCTGATACACACCAGTTTGCAGGAGGCACTGTCCGAAAAGAAATAGCTAAAAATAGCTTAGGCTTTAGTAATCCCAGGCCAACCAATGTACTGTTACAACACCTAGGGGCAGGCCCAGTCCACCTACAGCATAAAGGATCCTTTTAAAAAGGTCCTTAAGAGGAAGCCCAGTCTTCAGGTTCTTAGAGGGGAGGCCTGGTGATCCAAAAGCCATTGACAATGGTCAGGAGAGCTGAATTTTAATCATCTGGCCAAATGATTGTAAACTTGGACTAGCTCTCTACTCTCGGTACCATGCCTGTCTGTACTATGGAGTTAATAATTACACATTATTTGTACGGATGCTGCAAGAAGGAGATTAGTCACTCTAAGAACTATGGAAAGTTGCATAAAAACAAATTACTTTCAGCCCTAGGACCCTGGCTTCTCAACCTCGGAATGCAGGCCGAGAGCAGGCCCTCTGGGGGACCTGGGGGGAAGAGGTGGGGAGCTCGGAGAACCGCACCAGTTCCGGAGCTGGCCTACCTCCCCCCTCTCTCTCCCGGGCTTTCTCTCCCGCACTTTCCGCCGAGTATCAGGGCCGGCCCAGGGGGCTCCAGCCGCCGGCCAGTACCCGGCGGCCATGCGGTTTAGGCTGGCCTCCCGGGTCAGGGGCTGCTCGCGAGCCAGGAGTGCTAGCCTGCAGTCAGCCCCTCGTCGGACCTACCTGGGCCGAGGTGCTGAAGCTGCGGCGGAGAGCGGCGCCAGTAGGCCGGGCGAGGACGGAGAGCATGGCTGGGGCGGGCGGGGCGCGGACCGGCAAGCCAAGGAGCGGGCGGCAGACAAGTGACTCCAACGACCTCCACACGGCAAAGAACCTCTTGGCCCTGCTCCGACCGGCCTAGCAAGAGTGGCCCGGCTTCCGGCCCCGCCCCACTACCGGGTCTCGCGGTATCACGGCCACTTCCGGGCTGTAGCGCAGGAAGGCGGAGGGACGCTCTTAGCTGTGGTGGAGCGCATTCTGGGACTGGGTCCTAACGCGCGTCAAATTCCTTGCGGCCCGTAGCGGGAGGGAGAGTCCACACCCGAGAGGTGGAAGAGGACGGACTTAGCCTGGAAGAGCCTTAGAGGAGTCATTTTCCAGGTGGGGCCCCAGACGGAGGCTCTGACAGGGAGACCCGCCGAGGTCGCGCAGCAGTCCCGGCTGACTGGGTGCGGTCCAAGCCCCCGCAGCTAAACGCACTCCTCCTGCCCCTGGAGGAAAGAGAGGGCTCCGAGCTCTGGAAAGCCTTGGAAAGGAAAGTGGGGAGGAGGAGGAGAGGTTGAGAGCTCCGGGGGTAGGGTGGGAGGATGCGGGCTTCTTTAATCCATCACTCCCTAGCACCCGCCTGCTCACACACACACCTACGGCCCATCCGCTTGTGCCGTGGTCCCTCGAGGTGCACAAGACCTTCCGTTAAGGTTTAAAGTTTTAGAGACATCGCTACTGAACATGGCTGACACCGAGCACTGATAGCTCTGGGCAGTGTTCTACGAGCTTTACAGGACAGCAGTCCTGTGTTAACAGGAGGAAACAGATCTAGGTAACCAGTGTGGTCACCCAGTCCCTACCCCTCAGGTCTGCCCAGCACTGCTGTGAACACGGCTACTTTATTTCTGCTTTAGGACGAAGAAACTGACTGAGGTTAAGGGGTTTTATTCAGTTTACTCAGACAAAGTGACGATATGGTTCCTGCTCGAAAGGAGTTCATAATTTAAATTTATAAATTAAATTTAAGCTACCACCCCACCCCCCATTTTTTGGGTATATAGAGAATCCTTGCCCTCAAAAAGTTCAGTCAAGTGGGGCAGATAGATGTGCCGCAGGTTGTCATCTAGAGATTGGAATGCACAAAACCGGTGGAGGGTGGGGGGTGGGGGAAGATCCTTGACTAAGCCTGTTTGGAAACAGTGGTTAGGAAAGCTAGGGTGAAAAGAACAGCATGAGCGCTAAAGCAAGGGCGTGCATGGTGACTTGGCGAACTATTAGGTGCAAAAGTAATTGTGTTTTTGGACTGTGAATTTTAAATCATAGCTAGGTTCAAATACATCTTTATTAATCAAAATAGGAGCCATTACAATCAACACATTTATGCCAACTAGAAACAAGTTTGTTTATTCCTGTAGCATAAAAATCAGTGCTTTGGGATTCGAGGAACTCTTGGAAAGCATTTTCTGCATCCTGCTGCTTGTGGAAGTGTTTTCCCTGCAAAAAGTTGTCGAAATGCTTGAAGAAGTGGTAGTCGGTTGGCGACAGGTCAGGTGAATATGGTGGATGAGGCAAAACTTCGTAGCCCAAATCATTCAACTTTTGAAGCGTTGGTTGTGCGACGACATGCGGTCGGGCGTTGTCTTGAAGAATTGGGCCCTTTCTGTTGACCAATGCCAGCTGCAGGCGTTGCAGTTCTCGGTGTATCTCATCGACTTGCTGAGTATACTTCTCAGATATAATGGTTTCGCCAGGATTCAGAAAGCTATAGTGGATCAGCCTGGCAGCAGACTACCAAACAGTGACCATGACCTTTTTTTTTTTTTTTTTTT